GCACTTATTTCCTGCTTCACCATCCCACAGGATATCCATCCACTTCTACCCCCTCCCTTCACATCTATCTCCCTTTCACCAGCCCTCCATCTAATAACTTATATATGAAGCTTCCATGGCTTCTGTGATTTCAAACACATCAGCTGATGGTAGTTCCTTATGTTGGGATCAGTGTCTCTGAAGTTTAGTCAACAACAACAGGACTTGTAGTATCTGTAAACTTTAACTATGAGCCCCTTGTCTGAAATGTTATTGCCAAATGTTTTTTCCAAGTCTGTGAGCTTCCCCCTGCTATTGGAGAAAGTTTTTAATGTACACAGGGTTTTGATTTTAAGAAGATCCCATTCAACAATTTTATCCTTTCCAGGTTGTGATTTTGTTTTGCTATGTTTGAAACCCTCTTTATGTCACATGTTAGAAATTCTAAATTTGTTCCCATTTTGTCTCTTATGATCTTTATGGTTTGGGGTTTTACCCCCAGGTAAAATCCACTTTGAGTTGGTGTTTGTATATGGTGTTAGATGTGAGTTTTCTGCTGGTAGCCGTTCAGTTTTGCCAGCACCATTTGTTAAGGAGGCTGCCATTTCTCCATTTGATGGGTTTTGTTTCCTTGTCAAGTATCAGTTGACTATAGGTAGATGGTTTGATTGCTGAATTCTCAATTCTGTTACATTGAGCTTTGTGTTTATTGTTGTACCAGTGCCATGCTGTTCTGATTACTACAGCAGTGTAATAAGTTTTGAGATCAGAGAATGAGATGCTTTCTACTTTAGTTTTGTTTTTCGGAAAGGCCTTGCTTATTTTGGGTCTATTCACTTGAAAAATTAATTTGTTTTGGGATTGTGGTGAATTTGTAGATTGCTGTTGGTAAGATTGTCATTTTCACAATGTTCAGTCTTCCTATCCATGAAGAGGGGATATTTTATCCAGTTACTTTGGTCTCTTATTATTTCTTGTGGTATTGCTTTGTAGTTTTCCTTATAAAAGTATTTTTAAAAATTTCCGTTTCAGCTCTCATGACCTAGTGGCCAGGGAGTTGTGCTGCCATTCCCAAGGCAGGTGGTTTGAATCCACTAGCAGGTCCAGAGGAAAAAGATGGACAGTTTCCTCCCATGCGATTTATAGCCTCTGAAAATCTGCTGGAGAATCAATTGTGAGTCTTTACTTTGACAATGAACAACACTTGCAAAACTAGTTAGTAGTAGAAAATACAGAACTGTGTGTATAAGAGAGAGAAAATGAAGTACATGTACACACTGTTTGAAGAGTATGCTAACTAATTAATTAAGCTTTCAACACAGTTCCTGATAAATATTGAGAGCTTATAAAAATGTTAATTGTTGTTGCCAGCATAGCCCTCTGGCTAGTAAAGATTTATTTTCCTTCAAAAGTATATAAATTTAAAGAACTCTAGTCTAAATTTCAAGACTTAATAGTCTAGATTTCAATAACTAACCTTGAACCTTGATCAGAATACTTACCCTTTCTGTGTCTGGCTTTCTCATCTGCAGAATGGAGGTGACAATAATTCTCACAGGGTTATTATCAGAATTAAATGAGTTAACATGTTTAAAGTACTGCCAATAGTGCCTGGCATTTTCTGCTTCCTTCTGGTAATGGTGCGATAGTTGAAATTTACAAACTCTCCATTCTAGTTATTGTTGTTATGTGTCATTGACTCAAATACAACTCAGAGAGACCCTATGAACACCAGATCAGAAGGTTGCCCTATTCTGTACATGCTCACAATTTCTGACACACTTGAGCCTGTTGTACAGTCACCACATAGAGCCATCTTGCTGAGGGTCTTACTCTCTTTAGTTGACTCCTTACCTTTTCTAAAGTGTGATATCCTTTTCCAAAAACTGACTTCTCCAGACAACATGCCTGAACTATGAAAGATGAAGTTTTGCCATCTTTGCCTCTAAGGAGCACCTGGCCTGCATTTCCTGAAAGAGAAATTTGTTCTTTTGACAGTCCATGCGATATTAAATACTTTTCACGACCACCACCTTTATGTGGCATCAGTTCTTCTTTGGTCATCATTGTCCAAAATTCAGATGCAATGGAAAGCGATTGAAAACTCAGTGGCTTGTATCAGGCACACCTTAACCTTTATACTCACATCCTTGCTCTTTAGAACTTTAAAAAGTTCCTTTAAAGCAGATTTTCCCAGTGCAGTGTGTCTTTTGAGATCTTGGTGCTACCATGGATGTTGATTGTGGATTAAGAAGAGGAGTGTCTGTTATTTGCGTTGTGTCTTTCATTCTATGAAAGCTAAACGTGTATATTGATTATATTTAGTAATCCCTGAAGAAGAGTTGTTGAGTATCATCAAGTCAACTCTGATAGAGCCTTGCCCATCCTGTGCTTTATTCAGGGAGCACTGATGGCCTAGTGGCAAGAAGCCACACTACAATCCCGAAGGCACGCAGTTCAAATCCACCAGCTGCTCCACAGGACAAGGATGGGCAGTTTCTTTCTGTGTGATTAACTGCCTCTGAAAACCCACTGGAGGGTCAGTTATGAGTTGGTTCTCACTTGATATAACAAATCACAACAGCAATAATATTTTATTAATGATAAAGAATTGTCACGGTTTTAGCAGAATATTGATTCCAGTTCATTATTAAGTTATGACAACTGTTTTTACCTAAATAGATAAAATGGCATGTAAAAGAATTCACATAAATGAATATTTCAAATTCCAAGTGTGCATTCTCATAAGACAAGGCTTGGGAGAGAAACAACAGAATGTAAATTGTCTAGATTTGAAGATGGGACATTGTAAGTGTCAAATCAGCTTTGCACAAGACAAGGGTTTCACCAATGACAAATATAATGGGGGGGGGAAGGGAAGTAGGACATTAGAGAACTTTAGAACTACAGAACAAACCATCTTTTCCAGTGCAGGCAGTGCTTTCCAAGTTTGTTAGGAATGCAGAGAAAAGTAGTTTTGTGGCTGCATCCCAATTTGTAACTCTGTTTATCCAAAAGGTTTCATCTAAAACCGACTGGTCGTTCAAGAGCAATTTTTCACTTCACAGACAACATCATTATAATGGTAACATGGAAATGCTGACTCAGGCTAATCTTCATTTCAAACTCCCTCTCAGTACAGACCCAGTACGCGTGTTCAAAGATACCATCTACCTGACTCAGGTAAGGCATTTTTATTCTGCATGTTTCTGCAGTTAACATAAGAGAGTATGTAGATTTTGCAGACCTTGTATGATAAAAAATTACTTACTTTCTTATTCTTCTAATAAAGAAGAGGGGTTTGTTGTTAAAACATTGTACTTGACATGTAGTACTTGAAATACTTTAGTTTTGACATGTATTTATTTTATAAAATCTCTCACCTCCTTTTTCTCATTGCAGTTGAGTTGGAACTACTCATTACTGACCTTCCAGCAAGTTTTCAGAGGCTATAATTACTTTAGAACCAAGATCTAATTCTGGGGGTGGGGGGAGATAATCTTGTTAGTAAACAGAAGCCTTTGTGATGGTGGAGCCTTGGTGGTTCTGTAACCCAAAGGCAGCACTTCTCTGGCAGTTTGAATCCACCAGCAGCTCTTTGGGAGAAAGACGGGAAGATCGGCAATCTCCTTCCCTGCATTTTACAGCCTTCATAAACTTGCTGCAGGGTCAGCTATAAGTTGACTGACTCAGTAGCGGTTAGAATTGAAAGTTAGTGATAGAAGCTAATTCACTTGATTGCTAGTTAATGCACTTGACTACTAATCAAAAGACAGGTGATTTGAATATATGAGTTTCTTCCTGGGTGAAAGAGGCTGTAATATGCTTTTATAAGGATGTACAGCTTTTAAACCCTATCGAGCAGTCTGCTCTGTCCTGTCAGATCACTGAGTTGGAATCAACATATGGCAGGGGCTAGAGTAATAAACAGTGTTGAGTGGATGGCTGTTAGTGCTCTTGGCAACCAACTGAAAGATTGACAGTTGGGGTCCACCCAGAGGTGTCTTGGAAGAAAAGCCTGGAGATATTCCTACTTCAAAAAAAATTAGCCAAACAGAGACTTGTACACCAGTCTTAACAGCAGCATTATTCACCAAACGAAGAATATGGAAAATGCCCAAATGCCCAAGCACAATGGAATGGGTTGAGAAATTATGGTACACTCATACAATGAAATACTATGCAGCACACAGGAGGAATGATTTTGTATATTACTACCTATTTTAGGGGACTGAAGAACATTATGCTGAGTATACTAATTCAGTCTCATAAAGACAAATACTGTATAAGATCATTATTGTAGAATGAATACAGGGATCCATGGAGGGCAGTGGGGAGCAGAGGATGAGGATGGGCGGGAGGAGGTGGCAGAGGGGGTGCTTAATCATAGGGTTACAAATTTGATGGATGGAGGGAGGAGTGGGTAAAAGAAAGGGGAAAGATCTGGTGAAAAACAATGTATACAAACTTTGTAAGTAAACCACTATAAAATGGAAAAAGAAATCATCTTTGAAATCCTTTGGAGTACAGTTCTAGTCTGACACCTGGATTGCTGTAAGTTGGAATGACTTGGTGGTAAGTGGTTTGCATTACTGTTGAATGTCTTAATTGAAAAACTAAGTGAACCATGACTTCTTATATAAAAATTAGAATATAGAGAGAAGATTCGAATGTGAACGGCAAGGTGATAAAATTTGCAGAAGAAAATATAAGAGAATATTTTCATGATCCTGGGATAGGCAAATATATCTTAAACAGGACATATAAACACCTCATATAGAGTTGCTATGAGTCAGAATTGACTCGAGAACACTGTGGGATTATTTTTTTTTAATGATATGAAAGTCACTAATATAAAAAAAATGTATTGAAGATCCTCAATGAGATGGATTGACTCAGTGACTGGGGTAATGAGGGTAGCTGTGTTAGAGAATAAGGTTGGCTTAGGATAGAACAAGGTTCACAGCTGTTGTACACAGGGTCACTATGAGTCACAGGTCACTTGACGGCACATAACAACAATATTGATTAATTGAACTCCATTAAAATTGTATACTTGTGTATGTCTAAGAAACTATTAAGAGAGAGAGAGAGGGAGAAAAAGGCAAATCACAAGCTGGGTAAAAATCCTTGCCAAACATATATTATGGAAAGATTTGTATCCAGAATTATAAAGGAAATCAACTTATAAAAAGGAGTAGGAAAAAAATCTGGAGAGCATATTAGAAAATGGCCAATCTCATCCTTATTCATGAAAATGAAAGCCATACTGGCTACCTCTAGCACCCAGCTGAGTGACTAAAATTATAAAGATTGACAATACCAACTGTTGGTGAGGAGGTGGAACAGCTGGAACTTTTCGATATTGTTAGTAAGAGTGTGAATGTGAATAATGACTTTGGAAAACTTTCTGGCAGTTTCTATTAAAGCTAAACATTTGCTTTCTCTTTGAACCAGCACTCTACTTCTACCTATGCTCCCAAGATAAATGAGTGCATGTTTTCACTGACTGACATCTGGCAGAATGTTCATAGCAACTTTATTCCTAATAGTCCCAAACTGACAGCAACTAAATATCCTTTAACAGCACTAGTAAATGAGTTGGCAGATTCATACAATGGAACACTTGAGATCAATACAATGAATGACCTAATGCCCACCTACCACTGCTGACAATGTTGACAGGATCACAGTAGAGGATCTTGGACAGAGAGGGAGAAAAATGTGGAACAAAGCTCAAAATCCTAAAAGTGATAAGGTTCATTGGTTTAAAAGAGACTGGTGGAACCCCTGAGACTGTGGTTCTAGTCACCCTCTGAGCCTGGAATTTAACTCACCTCTATGACTTACCTTTCACACAGACAATAGACAAATGGTTGAGTAAACAAAACACTGGGAAGATACTCACTTCTTAAGGGGATCAAGGAAAGAAAAAGGATAATCAATTGCTATCAGAATCCATGCAGAAGAATCTTACAGATACTATTTTGTGCAAAAAAAAAGGCATAAAGTATACATATTATTTCTTTCGTGTTATAGTATACATATTGACAGAACTTATACTATCAAATGAGAGAAAAAGCAAACTTGTGGTTACCTCTTATGTGAGGAGTGTGTCTAATGATAGGAAAGGATAAAAGAGAACTTTTTGGAGTTCTGGAAAGTTCTGTGTCTTGCTCTCAGCATGTTGTTATTAAATGCCATTAAGTCAACTTCAAAGAAAAATGCTACCTAAAATCCAGCTGGGCAGTTTCTTCAAAAGTCTTTATTGCCAACTGACACTGTGCATTGGACTCTTGTGTGTCAGGAAGAGTGAGGATGGCACAGGATAGAAAAGGGTTCAGCTCTGTTGTTTATAGGGTTGCTATGAGTTGTACTAGGCTTGATGGCACCTAACATCAATAAAAACTGGGATATTCAGTACTCTTCTTCAATATCACAATTCAGAGGCATTGATTCCACTGTCATTTTGATTAATTGTGCTTATATAGATGTACTTATATTTTAAACACTAAATTTGTGCACTTAAAATATATTCGTGTTGTATTTTATACAATCCAGGTTATATTTTCCTCAAGCTTTATTGGAGTATAAATGATATAAAATTTACTCATTTTAGGTGTGTAAATAGATGGTTTCAGTAAATTTACAGAATTGTGCAACCATTACAAAAGTCCAATATTACAATATTCCTGTTATCAGTCATTCATCTTTCCTGCTCCATCTCCAGGCAATCATTTGAGTATTTTTATTTGCCTATTTTGTTTCACTCTTGGCACCAGTAGCCAGGAAAGTAAAAGGCGCATTGCCATGGGAAAGTCTG